TACACATGCACATACACACACACACTCACACACACCAAATGTTACTTGTATCACATTTTTTTATTAGGGAAAAATGCATCCAGTATGTTACAATTTAATTCTGAAAAAAAAAGAATACAAAAATTAAAGTATTAAAAGCTACTCTAAAAGCAGATATATGAATTTATTTGAATACAGTTCCAATCCTATTTCCTTAATTGAATTGACAATAAATGACATCCAATAAATCTACTCTCAGATCAAACTATCACTTTTGTGGCCTGGCTCATATTTCTTTTTTTTTTATTATTGTTTTTTAACAATGACAGTATTGGCAACAGCAATTTAATTTAATTTGATTTGATTTGATTTGATTTAAATGAGATGAAATGAGGGACAAATTAGTACAACATTGTTATGATTTAACTAAAACAATTAAACAAATTACTAAAATGTGGATGTTTAAGTGGAATATTTTGTAATGTATCACCTAAATGTATTTTAGATTTTGTCTTATGTGAAGTTAAAACGCTTTATTTACATACAATATATTTCAAGTAAATAAAAAAGATATGGCCATGATTTTAAATTAAATTAAACTAGTGATTTAACTAAATGATTTAACTAACTTAAAACCAGGGAATGAATAATAAAATGCATGCATAAAATTAATAAACACATGCACAGTAGAATTTCTTTCTTTATTTTTTTTTATCACTTTTTTATTTCGTATTGAGTGGAAACCAAAGTCTGAGCAGATTAAACTTTTCAGCACTCTCAAAAAAATGATAAAGTCATTATAGAGACATAATAAAAAGTTTAAAGGTATTATAATTTGAAATTAGAATTATTGTTTTCATCTTTTTCCCTTTGCTTAATTTGTGCTTAAAATGTGACCTGAATAGCAGAAGCTCCCATCCGGCGAGTAAATTGTAGCTGTGTCACACTCGCTGCCATCATGCATGGATGAGTGTGTGTGTGTGTGTGTAGGCAGATCTGAGCTGCTGCGTTTGCTCTGCAGATGTGAACGAGTGTCTGCACTCAGAGGGACTGGTGTGTGGATCCCAGCGCTGTGAGAACACCATCGGCTCGTTCCGCTGTGACGCGTCCTGCGAGCCCGGATACCACATCACCGCCTCCGGAGAGTGTGTGGGTGAGTCGGTAAATCACACACACACACACGCACACACACACACACGTGCAGAATGACAGCGGGCTCTCTCTCGCAGACATTAACGAGTGCGCTAACGAGACGGTGTGCGGACATCACGCCTTCTGCCAGAATCTGATCGGCACGTATCAGTGTCTGTGTGACCAGGGCTACGAGTCCACCGGCGACGGACAGATGTGTGTGGGTGAGTGCATCACTGCAGGAAAACAAGTGCACTTCAGCACGCTTTAAAAAAGAGGAGTTATTACAGAAATGTATACTTCATACTTACACTTAAACGTATACTTAACAGAATTTACTGACGTGTGAACTTCATGTAATATTTCCAGTCACTTAATTGCATGTTATTAACAATTAAATGAAAATGTTTTATATTTCAAATTTATATTAAATTCAATTTAAAATTAACTACTTAAGTGGGTCAAGTGCTGTTTGACCCACTTAAGTAGGACTTCAGTACATCTTTATATGTAATTTCATTTTGTAATTACACATTTGTAATGATGAAGTTGCAATTTAGTACATTTAAAATATATTAACTTTAAATTTAATATCTATCACACTAGAGTTAAAACTATATGCAAGCACTTTTAATGTGCTTTAGTATGTTAGTCAACACATCAAAATAAGTGTACTTAAAAGCACAATAAAAAAATTAATAAACTTTAAGGATTTAAAATGTACTTTAAAGTAAAACTTTTAATTTGACATTGTTACAAAGTGCACCTTTTAAAAGGCTACTTAAGTGGCCATATATCTATTTTTCTATTCTTTTGCATGTCATTGGTGGGGTTTAGTATAAATAAAATATAATAAATAAAACAAGGGAACAAATTAGTACAACATAACCACAAATTAATAAATAGTGTGGAATAATTATTCAATTGTGGCCACAATATCTTTTTTTTCCTCCACATGTCATGTGGAAATAAAATTAAATAAAATAAAATAAAATTAAATTAAATTAAATTAAATTAAATTAAATTAAATTAAATTAAATTAAATCTTATTAAATTAAATTAAATTAAATTAAATTAAATTAAATTAAATTAAATTAAATTAAATTAAATTAAATTAAATTAAATTAAATTAAATTAAATTAAATTAAATTAAATTAAATTAAATTAAATTAAATTAAATTAAATTAAATTAAATTACATTTAAAAAAAATAATAATAATTTAGTATAATGTGCACACAATTTATTTAAAACGAGGGAACAAAATAATAAAAAAATGTTTACTAATTAAAAGTGGTGAGGATGATTTTTAAATTGTCTTCCATATGTTGTGTGTATAAATACAAATAAAAAATAAAATAAAATAAATGTGGGAACAAATGATTACAACGTGCTCACAATTTAATTAAAATAACAATTTAACGTATTAAACATTGGCTACTAATTAATAAATCAAGGGGATTATTGTGGCCATGATACTTTAAAATAAAACTTTAAAATATTTAAAAAATTTTTAAACATTTTAAAATTATATTTTATTTTTTAAGAGTGTATTTAGGTGTGCTAAGAAACATAGTCATGAAAGTGTCTCTCTTTAAGTTCACTTAAGTGGCCTTTTTATTTAAAGTACAGTTTTATTTTAAGAAAATATACTTTTAAGATTTGAAGTGCAGTGCAAGTGCACATTCAGTACAATTAAGCACACTTCTTTTTCACAAGAGAAAGTTAAGTTTATTCTTCGAAAGTCTGTTTCTCTTTCTGCGCAGACATAAACGAGTGTGAGACGATGCAGGGTGTGTGTGGCTTTGCGCGCTGCTGGAACGTCAAGGGCTCGTTCACGTGTGAGTGTGAGAACAGACAGGAGGAATTCGACCCGCTCGCAGGCCAGTGTGTGAACAGAGAGAGCGCAGGTAACACACACACACACACACACACACACACACACACACACACACACACTAATGGACCTTCTGTTTCAGTGCTGCCCTCTACTGGTAATACTATAACTACTGCTAATAATGATGATGATGATGAAAATAATAACAGTATTAATAAGTTTACTTTATATTGCTGTGATAAAGGCACCTTATATAACATAAACATGTGCATACCAAACAATATAACAACAAACACAATGCCTTTTTTCCAAAAACAAGTCACCTGCTTGACTTTCCGCTGCCTACATAGGTAGCAGCCTTCTAAGTGACCGATGTAACACTCTACATAGGCAGCAATTCTGTGTCATACAAGTAACAATGCTCATGCAAATACTGGGCAAATAATCTACTTTTATTTCAATTGAACTATGTTTAGCGATACCTTCTTTTTTTTATTTGAAATAATAGTATCCCTTGGAAATATTTAAGTACACTTTAAAATACCTTTAAAAAGAGTACTTATTATGGAAATAATGTACTTTAAAACAATATACTTAAGTGTAAATTGAGTGTGAATTTTTGGACACTTAACTGCGTGTTATTTACAAATAAATATTAATGTATTATAGTTTACATTTATATTAAATGCAATTAGTTGAACTTAAGAGTGCTTATTGACCCACTTAATAGGACTTCAGTACATCTTTATATGTCATTTCATAATTACTTCTATTACTTTTAAAAGTGTACGTCTTTAAAGCATGACAAAATATTATTTAAACATAATGATTTAAAATATACTTTAAAGTACAGTGTTTTTTACATCATTACAAAGTGAATTTTAAAGTCTACTTAAGTATGTTAAGAAAACGTCATGAAAGTGTCTCTCTTTAAGTGACTTAAGTGACTTTTATTTAAGTAATATTATCTGCAAGTGCATTTTTTTTTTTTTATGCTAAAAACCAACTAGTTAATAGTGAGAATTGGTCCTTAAAATAAAGTGTTACCGTGTGTGGATTCGCTGCAGGTCGGTCGGAGCCGTCTGGCGGAGACTCCTCTTCCTCAACTGGCCACGGTTCGTCTGGATCGTCCGGCTCTCTGCCGCAGACTCGACCTGGAGAAACGAGAGAGTGTTACTATAGCGTATCTGAGCCGTACTCCTGCAAGATATTGGCCCAAAACACCACGCTGCAGGAGTGCTGCTGTACAGCGGGACAGGGCTGGGGCCTCATGTGCCAATATGACGTCTGTCCCGAGACTGGAACAGGTGAACAAACACACATTAACACTGAAGAAATGCTGCATCAAGTGAGTCTGGCCTTGGGAAAAAGAAATGCACTTTAGCATACTCTTAAGTACTTATTATGGAAATAATATACTTTAAAATTATGTACTTAAATGTGAACAATTCAGTGTTATTTTAGTGTCATTGAAATACTATTACAGTTTGTATTAATATGTTGAATGTTTTTATTTTCCATTTTAATTTTAGTTGATTTCATTCAATTAAATTTTTAGTTTTAAAAATTTTGTTTTGTGTTTTTGTCATTTTTGGCCTTTAAGCCACCAGATTATGATGTCTTTTTTTCTTTTAGTGTCTATATAGTTTCTAATATTTTTTATTTCCGTTGAATTTTTAGTTATTTTAGTACATCGTTAAAATGAATTAAAATGCTAAATATTGCCGTGGCAACTAGCTGAAAGAAAAAGTTTTTTAAATATTTTATTTTATTTCAGTTAGCGTTTATTTTATTTTAAGTATCAAAAATGTTTTGTTTTTTATTTTTATTTTTTTTTTTTTTTCAGTTTCAGTTTTATTTTTGGTTAACTATAATAATATAATAATAAATTGAATACAATGTTTTGGACACTTAATTGCATTTTATTTAATGAAGATTGTATAGTTTAAATTTATATTAAATGCAATTAGTTGAACTTAAGAGTGTGTTTTTGACCCACTTAAGTAGGACTTCAGTACATCTTTATATGTAATTTCATAATTCTATTGTCTTTGAAATTTAAATTAAAATATATGTTAATGTAACTTCTATTAACTTCTAAGTTTATCTAAGTTAATAGATCTACACATTATCTAAGTTGCAGTTTAGTACATTTAAAATGCATTAACTTTAAGTACTTTACATGTGCTTTAGTATGTTAGTAAGTGTCTCTAAGTGTGCTTCAATGTCATTAATATCATGTTGTCTGCAAGCACAGTTTTAAAAATATACTTTTAAGATTTGAAGCACATTACAAGTGCACATTCAAGTGCACTTCTTTTCCACCAGCATGAGTTTCTCACTTTTCCCTCCTCATCAATATCTCTCCGTTCAGCGGACTTCCAGTCGTTGTGTCCCAGTGGAAGAGGGTACGTCACCACGGAAACGGGAGTGTTCAGCTACAAGGGTAAAACTCACGCACGGACAGACTCTGGTAGTCTCTAGTAGTTGCTGTTTCTAATCTGAGTGCGTTGGCCTCCGGACAGATGTGGATGAGTGTAAGCTGTTTGATCCGGAGGTGTGTAAAGGCGGCGTGTGTGTCAACAACATTCCCGGCTATGCCTGTTACTGTGCCAGCGGATTCTACTACGACACGGATCTGCTGGAGTGCATCGGTCAGCCTTTAAAACACTAGTGCCAGCTGGGATAGATGTCAGATCAGCAGACAGTGATGTGTCTGTCTCTCTGTCTCTCCTGTAGATAATAATGAATGTGAGAGTGAGGAGACCTGCACTGGCGGTCAGTGTGTAAATACACTGGGAACGTTTTACTGTACATGTGAGCCCCCTCTAGTGCTGGACGACACACAGCGCAACTGTGTCAATGCACGCGGCCTCGCTGAGGGTGAGAGATGCACAGACACACACAGACTACAACATGAACTTTTCTGACTGCCACTGGTTTTGATAACATTTAGTAACCACCAATATTTCATGTGGGCCATTTTTATATTTTAAAAATATGTCCCTATGGTAATGTAATTATATTTGATTTTATATATATATATATATATATATATATATATATATACATACATGTGTGTGTGTGTGTGTGTTATTTCATTGACTGATATTGTTATATTATTTATAATTTGTTTTAAATTTATTTAATTTGTTCAATTGATTTAAATTTTTATTTATTTATATTATTGAATGTTTGAAGCAAGCAGAGAAATATTTCAAGACTACATGTTATTGGTTTAATTTTTATTTTATATTCATATTAATTTTTAACTGGTAGTCTGTTCAGTACTGTATTAATTTTTGCTCTGATATCAAAATTAATATTAAGAATCATCAGTAGTCCTTAAGAATCGACAACTGATTATTTGATATTAAAGATATTATTTTTTATTTAAAAATATGTTCCCTATGACAATGGTTTTATAATTGATTTTACTACTATACATTTTTAGATATTTGTATATAAGTTATGTCAATTCCTTCATTTTAAATGGATAATTTATTTTTATTTCAATAAATATATGTCTGTCCCTATGATAATGAAATTATATTTTATTTTACTTCTATAAATGTTTTTATTACATATATTTATATCAATTATATGTTAAGCGTTTCATTTTAAAGGTGTATTTTTATTTTTAAAAATATATTTGCTCCAATAATAATGGAATTATACTTTATTTTACTTCTATACATTTTTATTAAATATTTTTAGATAAATGATGAGTTCAGTTTAAAGACATATTTAAATTTATTTTTTTAAATATTTTTTGTCCCTATTATAATGAAATTATATTTTATTTTACTAGCATACATTTTAGTATATATTTTTAAATGAATTATATGTCAAGAGTTTCATTTTAAAGAGATAGTTCAGCCAAAAATGAACCCTCATGTCATTCCAAACACATAAGAATTTAGTTTTTTTTTTTTTTTAAACACAAATAAAAGATTTCTGTCCCACCATTGAAACTCCAATTCACCAAAACTTTCACAGTTTAAAAAAAAAAATAAAGACCCCGTAAAAGTAATCCATATGAATCAAAGAGTTTAATATGATGAATAGATTTAATTTAGGCTTTTATTCACACGTTCATCAACACACATATATAGAGCTCATCCAATATGGTCATACTTGTGTGACATGCAATAATAAACCTCTTGCAGAGGTTAATTAAAAAATATCTTAAATAGTGTTTTAAAGATAAATGAAACTCTTATGGGTTTGGAATGACATGAAGGTGAGTAAATGATGACAGAATTTTCATTTTTTGGTGAACTGTCCCTTTAAGAATGGGGGAAAATAAGTTGCCAGATGTGTAAAATGACAACGTTAGGACCTTTTTAAAGCTTATTTGTTGTCCGTTTGTCTGTGTTTTTCTCAGATGAGAACTTAAACTTCTGTTGGCGTCACATCACAGCTAGTCTAGTGTGTCAGAGCCCTTTGTTAGGAGCTCAGCTGACCTTCACTGAGTGCTGCTGTTTGTATGGTGAGGCCTGGGGTCTGCAGTGTGCCCTCTGCCCCCGCAGAGATGAAGGTACACACACACACAACACACACACACACAACACAATGCACACAAAAGGACTGCATGCCATTCAGAACTAGATTGACAATGCACCCCAATTCACATATTTATGCACTATTCTATGTCGTTTTGTAGTATAAAAAGTAGTGTGTTCATACTGAAAATTCCAAAAGGAAAAAGTGCACTTTAAATACCCGGATGATGCACTTAATCAACCAAAAAAAAAAATCTATCCAAACAACAAACACTGTGAAAGCAGTGTGCTTAAATGTACTGAATGTGCAATTGTAGTGTACAGATAATATATTATTGAAATAAAAGACCACTTAAGTGTGGTTAAAGAGGTCTTAAAGAGAGACAATTTCATGGCTGTTTCTTAACACACTTAAGTAGCCTTTTAAAAAGTGCGCTTTGTAATAATGTCAAATTAAAAGTTTTACTTTAAAGTACATTACGGTTTAATATTATTTTGTGGTGCTTTAAAGAAGTACACTTATTCTGATGTGTTGACTAACATGCTAAAGCACTTGTAAAATACTGGAATACTGCATATTTTTAACTGTAGTGTGTTAATTGATATTACATTTAAAGTTAAGTACTAAATTACAACTTCATTCCATTCAGCAGTAACTTTAACCGTATTTTAGAGACAATAGAAGTAATCCTGAAATTACATATAAAGAAGTACTGAAGTCCTGCTTAAGTGGGCCAAATAAAAAACTCTAAAGTTTGACTAATTGTGTTTATTATTATTAAAATATCCCTTTTTTTTGTTGTTGTTTTTGTCTGTTTAGATGTTTTAAGGCTCGAATACACTACACAACTTTTAAAATCTGACCAGGTTTTTTAAAACACCCAGTATCATACACTTACCAACTTCGTAAACAGTCACAGAGGAAAACCTGGCCATCATACACTAAACGACTGAGGATCATTTACACACTGCCAGACTTTAAAGTCATTCCGATCACAACAAACTCACACAGAAACGTGTGAAACATCTGTGATCTCCTCCGACTGGATGGAATCAAAGTCTGTGACCATCATACACACTATGCGATTTTCTATGAAATCTGTCAACTCCAATCTGCAGACTGGCTCTGACTTTTGGCAACTATCGCCGACTTCTCCAGACTGTCAATCGGGGAGAAATCATGTAGTGTATTCCAGCCTTTAGTTTCTTTGAATTTTAATTCAGTTAATTCTATTTCCCATCATTCCAATAAAATTCTTATTCTCATACTTCTTTACTTTCTGAATTTTGCCTGACCCTCAGACACTCATTCGGTTTCACTCTTTAACTCATTTTAATTTGTCTGTCTGACTCCTGATTAGAGGCCTATGAGGCCCTGTGTAATGAGTTCGGTTCTCCTCCTTACTCTCCTCGTTACTACGAGCGCTTCGGCCCGGGGCTCCTGCCTGAAAGAGGAGGATACCGTCCACTGTACAGCCCCCCAGAGTACCCCGAACCCCTGCCGGGACGCCCAGACTACATGCCACCTGATTATGATGACTACAGTCCTGTGGGAGCGAGTGGATGGCGGTCGGGGCTGAGAGGCAGAATGCCCAGCTCATACGGACTCCCAGACGCCCCCTACAGGCAGCCGGCCACAGGGTGAGTTGGTCATTTGAACGATGCACTACTAATAACCAGCTTGTGTGTAAGCAGTGTTCATTTTGTCAGCAAATTTTGATTTAGTTTTAGTTATAGTCGTTTGACTAAAATGCCATTTAGTTTTAGTCATATTTTAGTCATCTGAGTTGTTTTTAGTTTTAGCCTAGTTTTAGTCGACTAAATCTACAGTAAATTTAGTCTGCTAAAATCTAATGGGTTTAGTTACAGTGTAATGCATTTATTATTTATCATGATAGACACCGATTTAACTGCGGTGACACGCAACATGCCTTTATGTTAAAATGAAATAAATCAACTTCTCATAAAGAACAAGAACATGGTCTTCTTAATGAAATACCAATGGTTATATCGGCTAATTATGCATTCTTTATAGCAACTTGTTTACCATATTCTTCATTCTTTCAAGCAGACATATTAATTTCTATAGATACATTTAGATTAATCTTTAGGGCTGCTAAAGTTTTTTCAGTCAAGAGCAGTGCGTGATTTTCTGTCTTTCTTTTGTTGCTTGATTAACATCAATGACTCGGACAATAGTGAAAATGTCAATAAATTTTCGTCATAGTTTTTGTCATTCAAAAATAGTTTTCGTCTCATTGTCGTCGGTGAAAATACTTTTGTTGACGAAAATTATTCGTCAACGAAATTAACACTGTGTGTAACTGTGCCCAACTTATCTCCAGTGGAAGTCGTTACTATGAGGAGGATGATTATGAAACGGCGCCCGGCCCTCCTTTCGGCATCCCGGATCCTCGCGGCGTGTGGACGTTCGACGCGCGACCCCTGCCGCCCCGTCCAGACGGGCTTCCGCTCAGCTTGGCCCCGTTTCCGGAAAACTCCCCGTACAGCGAGGCAGAGGAGGCGGAGTCATGGAGAGCCCCGCCCCCATTCCCAATGTCTCCCGAGAGACAGGAGGGACCACGACGAGTCTATGAGCGTAAGTCCAAAATATGAAGACAAGAGATTAGAATAATGCAAAAAAAATACTAAACCAGTCCAAAGTGGTTTACTGGTCTGGTTGCTGATTTTAGATTATAACTCACAGAAGTTGTCTATACTGCAAAATGAATTGCTTACTACTTTTTGCAATTTTTTTGTTGTTTATGATACAAACATGCACTGAACAGAACTTCTGCGCCTCTCATTGGCCATTACATTCATAAGCTCAACAGAAACGCGTGTGATTGGTTATAATGCTCAATGCTGCAAAAACAAAAAATAAATCTGATGCAGCATGAGTAGATCTAAATTTAGTGCTGCAATCAACAATTTCCATTTTCACATTTCACTTTAATCTTGACAGCCGTAATAGATTCAGTTTAATTGTGCGGTTTTGGCCCCTTTATCTTAAATTTGAGGGACTTTTTTTTTTTTGCCCCAAGACCCTGTTAATTTCCAACATTAGTGTGAACTAAATGTCGTGTTTTTGTAAACTTAACTGCATGTTTCTTATGTTTATTATATTTTTTATTTAATCATATTTAATTAATTTAAATTTAAATAAAATGTAGTATAGTTTTAATTTATATTAAATGCAATTAGTTGAACTTAAGAGTGCTTTTTTGACCCACTTAAGTCAGACTTCAGTATATCATTATGTGTAATTTCATAATTACTTCTATTGTGTTTGAAATATGGTTAAAGTTACTGCTGAATGTACTGACAAGCATTTATCATTTTTATTGAAACTTATGTTGTGTATTTTAATATACTTGAAATTACACAATTTTAATGAAGTTGCAATGTAGAATATTTAAAACTGTAAATCAAATAATACTCTATAGGTAAAATGATAGTCAAGTGCTTTCCATGTGCTTAAGTATGTTAGTCAGCACATCAAAATAAGTGTACTTATTTAAAGCATGACAAAAGATTATTAAAACATGACTTAAAATGTGCTTTCATTTCAAACTTTTTAAATTTGACATTACAAAGTGCACTTTTTAAAAGTGTTAAGAAACAGTAATGAAAGTGTTCTTTCTTTCTTTAAACTTTCTTTTATTTCATTATCATTTAAGTTTTTTTAAATGCTTTTTAGTGTAATATTCTGTTTTTTAAAAAACATATATACCTTCAAGATTTGAAGTACACTACAAGTGCACATTTGATCAAATTAAGTGTACTTAATTTTTTTCACCAGGGTTTTTTTTTTTTTTTAAACTTTGAACTCGTATGTAGTGTACGAACACAGAAGCAGCTGTGTGGTTCCTGTGTGTGTTTTAGGGAGATATGAATCCTACGGGAGTCTGAGTTCAGAAGAGTGTGGCATTGTCCACGGCTGTGAAAATGGCCGCTGTATCCGCGTGGAGGAAGGTTACACGTGTGACTGTTACGACGGCTATCAGCTGGACATCACTAGCATGACGTGCATAGGTAACCCTCGCTTTCTCATCTGCAGATTGTTCCTCTCTGTTCCTCCATTCTCAAATAATCACACCACTAGGGGAAGCAACTAAAGATGTGTTTGACTCCTGTAGATGTGGACGAGTGTGACGATGAAGACACGCTCGACTGCGTGAACGCTCGCTGCGTGAACACGGAGGGCTCGTACAGGTGCGTGTGTCTCAGGGGCTTCATCATGTCCCGAAGACCCAACCACTGCATCCCGGCTTGATCGAGGACTGCATTTAGAGACTTACTAATTATTATTTTTTCCTTTTTCCGCCACGTTGCTGTAAATGGTTTATTTTATGACTTTATTTACAATACTTGTGTGTATATATCCAAAAGTCTAATACTGAAGCTTTACGCACGACACACACGCACACAAGACTCAATACTGTTGTGCTTTACTTAAAGCTTTTATGTATAACGCATTATAAAGGTATTTGTAACGTATGTTGTAATGCATTGCATCTTTTTATAAATAATAGTAATAGTTTGTTTGCCATGCATTATCCTCCCTAAAGGTGTGTTCAGTGTATAGGTAAGTATTATAATGTGTTATAACTGTGGTTCGTGAGATGCATTACAAGACATAATGAATGCATTAAAACTACTTTTATAATGCATTATATATAAAGGCTTTAAGTAAAGTGTTACCAAAAAAATTATATATTAATGTACTTTTTCATTGGTTGGACGCTGGCCAGATGAGCTTGAATGTCTTGTCATAAATATCTGCATAAACTAGTGTTTTTACTCAGATTTCATATTTATATATTCATATCAATGAAGGCAATTCCATGTATACTATATATAAATATATATATTTTTGTCATATGTCTGAGAATTTCACCACGTTACTGTTTGATACTGTTAAATCTATTTTTCTGTCTTTCGTCTGTCAGAAACCCCCATGTCACGTAACACAAAATGCACTGTATTTGTGGGGGAAATGCAGTCGTGAACTGCTATTGTACATTTTTAAGACATCTCAGATGTTTGTTACATATTTTTATATGTACGTTTTTGATATCTTCTGTGCCGTTTGGAAATATATTTGCACACACTCCCACTGATCACGAAGTGTTTGTTTGTTGACAAGCTTCCTAAAACCCAGTCTCTTCATTTCCAGCTGGAGGAAGATGATTTTTTTCCCCTAAACCTGGCTGATATAATTGAAATCCCATTGTTGTCATTCTTAGGCCGTCTCTCTTTCTCTCACGTGCTTTGTTTGAGAAGGTTTGTAACCAGCTTATCTCTGCGTGGTCCTAATGTGCCTAGTGTTTATATGAATCCAGCTCATAAGTCCTTTTATAGGCCAATCCGCCCACATCACACAGCCAAGCCGATTACCGGGTTCACGTCGCTCCTAATGTACTTCGGTGGATTGCAGCGAGCAGCGGAATATCAGCTTTCTCTCCATTGTGGCTTGTGTTACTGGCCAACAGTGTAGTGGAGGATTTCAGTTTTCCCCGTAAACTTCCTCTGATCCTCCTTTGTTGATAGTACTGGAGTGTGTTGAGGTTAAACACGGCCTGAACTGGACTCACTCTCTCTCACACACACACACACACAGCGAGGCCAGGTTTGAATTGGCTGCTGAATGTTTATGGTGGAGTTTTAGGTCAAAGTTCTTGGATTCAGGTAAGTTTCCACTGACGTCACCATGTAGTGCCACAATCAATGATTGACACGCTTCAGTTACTGCTACGGATAAACTAGAAGCTATTGTAGATTTGTTTTGTTTTTGTTTTTGTTTTTTTGGGATTGCAATTTTTCGTTTTTATCATGACAAATAATTTTCAAGTTTCAATTCAAGTTATTTGAACAAATAATTTTCCCCCGAAATTTAAACTTAATGTAATGCTAAATAAATACAGTAATGAAAATCATCCTCTCCAGACACATTTTTAAAATTGAAATTAAAATTCAGTACAACAAATGATATATGCTTACAAATACTTTACAATTGAAATAATTTAGTTTTTTTTTTTTTATTTTACATTTTCCTGAAAAAAGTATCACAAAAATGTTCAGCAGCACAACTGTTTTCAACATTGATAATAATCAGAAATGTTTCTTGAGCAGCAAAGCAGCATATTAGAATGATTTCTGAAGATCATGTGACACTGAAGACTGGAGTAATGATGCTGAAAATACAGCTGCGCATCACAGGAATCAAAGTTTACAATATATTCACATAGAAAACAGCTATTTTAAATTGTAATATTTCACAATTTTTTATTATTTTTTTTTTTAATAAATGCACCCTTTGTGAACAGAAGAGACTTCTTTCAAAAAACCTTTGCACTGCTGTGTATATATATATATAACCACAATGACATTTTGGAATCTTTATTCAATATTTATTAGATTAATATTTATTTGAATTAATGTATTTTACAAAAAAAAATAAAAATAAATAAATTAATTCACTAGGTTTAACTAGCACAATGAAATGCAGATCAAATAAATGCTACATTGCTAAGCATGAGACCTTCAAAAACAAAACTTTTTAATTATATTGTATGATTTTATTTTATGATTTTATTTTATAATGTTTAACCTTATATATATATATATGTGTGTGTGTGTGTGTGTGTGTGTGTGTGACCCCTTTAGCGAATTTTTTTTTTTTTTTTTTTTTTTTTTTTTTTTTTTTTTTTTTTTTTTTAAAAAATGCCCCCTTTGTGAACAGAAGAGACTTTTTTCAAAAAACCTTTGCACTGCTGTGTATATATATATATATATATATATATAACCACAATGACATTTTGGAATCTTTATTCAATATTTATTAGATTAATATTTATTTGAATTAATGTATTTTACAAAAAAAAATAAAAATAAATAAATTAATTCACTAGGTTTAACTAGCACAATGAAATGCAGATCAAATAAATGCTACATTGCTAAGCATGAGACCTTCAAAAACAAAACTTTTTAATTATATTGTATGATTTTATTTTATGATTTTATTTTATAATGTTTAACCTTATATATATATATATATATATATGTGTGTGTCTGTGTGTGTGTGTAATAGTAAAAAAAAAAAAATGTTACATTGTTTTGTAACTGCATTGTACCATGCAGTTTTTATGTTTATTATCATGACAAATACATTTTCCCCTCAAATTCTCTGTATGCAGATAAGAGACTTTTACAGACTTTTGCATTGTATATGATTTTATTTTCTAATATAATTTCTTGTTTTATAGTATAATATAACTTCTTGTTTTGATTTCTGAGTGAAATATGACCCTGCCATTTCTTGTCAGTTTCTTTCAGCCTGTGTGTTGACTGACCTGTGTTTTGGTGTGTGAGTGTGTCTGAAGTGTGTGTTAGTGATAGTGAGAGTCAGCAGTCTGTCCGATTACCTCTCATGACACTGCAGTAAAGAACACAGCTCCTGATCTCACACACTGCATGCGAGTGTCTGCCAGAGAGATGAGCGCTGGAGGGCCGAGTCACTGACTCCACATCGCTGTGGAAAGCCATCATGCCGTGTGTGTGTCACACTCTCACTAAATGATGCCAAATTCAATCTGAATTTGTTGCTGAGGAGGCCTCTCCTGGATTAAGGCCTGTGGGGAACGAGACAGGTGTTCCTGGCCGGCCTAGACGCTAATCCGCTCACCTGCGCTGGGTCAGAAATGGGTCAGTGTTCCGTAACACTCCAAAAGAGGGTCATCACCTCACGCCCCAAACCGGGTCAACATCTCACAGCCGAGCGGAGAGCTCTAATGCATTTAGAAACCACAGCCACACAGCTCCCATTCCCACCAATACCAGAAATAAATGTTGTGTCTGATGCATTCGTTTGGATCGCTAATGAAATTGATTTTCAGCTTTAACAAACTGCAACAGATTAGCCTAAACCAGTACAATTTTCTAGTAACATTTTACAGTAAGATTTCATTTGTTAAAATTACTTGACTACATTAGTTCGGATTAGTATAGTTAATTGAAACTAAAAACATAAAACAATTTATTAAATAAAATATATTTTATTTCTAAATATTAAAAAAAATAAAAAATATTTTTCATAACATAAAAGAAAATAAATAAACTGAAATTAAATTAAATCTTCATTCTCATTTCATTTAGATGCACTAGAAGAACTGAAATTAAAACTGAAATAAAATTAATGAAAACTATATCGAAATATTTTAAAAAGCTAATAAAAATGACAAAACACAATACAATTACTAAAACTATTAAATTTAAAATGAAAACAGAAAATATAACAATAAAAAAACTATTCAAAATATGAATAAAAACTATAATAGTATCTCAGTGATACTAAAATGTTTACTTGAACTAATGATAAACAATACTTATACAGTATTTAATAATCTTTGCTGTTAATTTCAACATTTAATAATGCTTTTTAAAATCAAAAATTGTCAACATTAATGCACTGTGCACATTAACTAACATGAATAATAATGCAATATTGTAATTTATTAATTGCAATAAATTAATAAATGCATTGCTTATTGTTAGTTCATGTTAGCAAATGCATTAACTAATGTTACCAAATGAGACCTTATTGTAAAGTGTTATTAATTTTCTCCCTTTCCAAAACCACTTTACCATGTAAAAGAACACAACTAAAAGGTTTTACTGCAGCAGCTGAATTAGAATTAGCATTTAACTCAAATAAATAAACTTTACACTGACGTGGCCCAAAAATCAATCAATGAAACCGAGTGATATATGACTGGACTAAAACTAGCAGAGATCCTGTAGTTCCAGTACAAATAACTCAAATTGGAGACTGTTTTGAGCGTCAACATCGGAGGCAGCAACAAGGAAATGAAGCAGACTGGATGCGGCGGGAGTGGTTTGTTGGTGTTCACAGCCAACTGCAGATAAGGAATATCTTTATATGTATTTACATACAACAAAGGGTCTCGGTCACTCTGGAAAAATGGATTAAAAATGGGGAAAATGGACAAATTTTGTAAAAATGATGAAAAAGCATCTCTGCACAGGTTCATCGTGTATTAAAAGCCCATTAGCAAACTTTCTGTAATTACGGTGCTTTATGAGACAACTGGCCTTGATGAAGTGATTTGCAGTTGAGCTGTCAGTTATGAGAGCCCATCAGGGTTTTAATCAGCATGCATCTGGATTAGACGCCCGGCCCGCCCACCGCAGCGCATCACTTACATAAACCTGCAGCTCAGCGTGCTCCTCCCTTCATCTCAGACATTTCTCACGCACAATCCCTGGGGAACTGCAGTGATGGACCTGAAGAAGTTTTGCCTGAGTGACAACTTCCAGTTTCTAAACCAGCACAAGTAAGCAGGACTATTACGCTTCCTAAGTTAAATGTCTTTTTATACATTAATCTTATACCTAAACTCTGTAGAAAGTGTTCTCTTGTCATATGTGTTATATGGCACGGTTTCAGCTCAAAGTTTTCATTTGTAATTACATTGAGAGAGTTTTTAAATAGCAAAATGAACTTTTGGTGTAAGTTTTGCAACTCTTTGATTTGACTAAAAATGCCAGTAGTTGAGTTTCATTTTCAAGTTTTAATGGACTGAAACGTTTGTGGTGTGTAATATGGTGACACAAGACTGTTTGAAGATTGCATGTCATTGCAAATATGTAAATAATGCTTTACTTTTCATTATATATCATACATAAATATGCAGTACAGTATTTAATCACTATGCAATGCTTACGAAATTCTTAAAAAAACAATCTTTAAAAATATTGTTTCTAATCTTACTGGCATGATGTTTTTAAGATGTGCAATAATTGACTTTCAAGGATTTTGTGATAGTTTTGCATAATTCAGTTTTCTATAGTAGCCTACTACATGGCCTAATAACTTCAATAGTCTGACAAGTAATTCATTAATAACCTAAAATCCATTGATAAATATTGTGTTGCTTAACTACGTTGAAAAATGAATATGTTACATAGCCTACTGTAGCCTATATCACATTAACGATCTGTTAAAAAGTCATGATTATGAATGACTACACTTTAAACCTCTTTAGCCTAGATAAGTGTAAATGTAGTTGTAAGGCAAACTAACACTTTTTAACCTCGCTCCACCTCATATCAGTCTTTTGGATGCGTCCACCTCTGATGACCCTCCGTCCCCGACCGATGCGCCGCTCAAAGCCGCCCCGCTGAGCCCCTCGTTCGGCCTGGACAGCAGCGCGACCCCCTTCAGCCCCGGCAGCGCGTCGGACAGCAGCGGCTACAGCGTTTTCTCCGGGAACCCGTCTCTGAACCCGGACTCCCCCGTCAGCTCCAGCTCCAGCTCCAGCAGCAGCGCTGCGGCTCTCTTCCAGCCCGTCGGTCACACGGAGTCCCTGCTCGGCTGCGACTACATCGCGTCCCTGAACCCCGGGCCCAAGCGCCTGTGCCTGGTGTGCGGATATAGTGCAATAATGTTTCTCTCTTTTTACTTATAAATATTTAATTTTAATTAGCCTAAACATATTAATTATGAAGTCATCAAATTTGCTCATGATAATGTTGTGACACCAACATTATACATTTTCATATTTAAATGGATTACTGATTTTCACAGCATGTATCATGTTAATTAATGACTTAATAACGATAATTAGTGTTCAAGTGTGTGTTAGAGTGGTTTATGGTGTATTTTTAAAGCAGCTGTGCTGTTAACGAATGTAATGATCAATATGACATGAGTACACTATCTGTCTGACGTTGATTTGTGTGTGAAGACTCAGTGTGCTGCTGTTTTAATCATTCTGAGTGACAACTTCCAGTTTCTAAACCAGCACAAGTAAGCAGGACTATTACGCTTCCTAAGTTAAATGTCTTTTTATACATTAATCTTATACCTAAACTCTGTAGAAAGTGTTCTCTTGTCATATGTGTTATATGGCACGGTTTCAGCTCAAAGTTTTCATTTGTAATTACATTGAGAGAGTTTTTAAATAGCAAAATGAACTTTTGGTGTAAGTTTTGCAACTCTTTGATTTGACTAAAAATGCCAGTAGTTGAGTTTCATTTTCAAGTTTTAATGGACTGAAACGTTTGTGGTGTGTAATATGGTGACACAAGACTGTTTGAAGATTGCATGTCATTGCAAATATGTAAATAATGCTTTACTTTTCATTATATATCATACATAAATATGCAGTACAGTATTTAATCACTATGCAATGCTTACGAAATTCTTAAAAAAACAATCTTTAAAAATATTGTTTCTAATCTTACTGGCATGATGTTTTTAAGATGTGCAATAATTGACTTTCAAGGATTTTGTGATAGTTTTGCATAATTCAGTTTTCTATAGTAGCCTACTACATGGCCTAATAACTTCAATAGTCTGACAAGTAATTCATTAATAACCTAAAATCCATTGATAAATATTGTGTTGCTTAACTACGTTGAAAAATGAATATGTTACATAGCCTACTGTAGCCTATATCACATTAACGATCTGTTAAAAAGTCATGATTATGAATGACTACACTTTAAACCTCTTTAGCCTAGATAAGTGTAAATGTAGTTGTAAGGCAAACTAACACTTTTTAACCTCGCTCCACCTCATATCAGTCTTTTGGATGCGTCCACCTCTGATGACCCTCCGTCCCCGACCGATGCGCCGCTCAAAGCCGCCCCGCTGAGCCCCTCGTTCGGCCTGGACAGCAGCGCGACCCCCTTCAGCCCCGGCAGCGCGTCGGACAGCAGCGGCTACAGCGTTTTCTCCGGGAACCCGTCTCTGAACCCGGACTCCCCCGTCAGCTCCAGCTCCAGCTCCAGCAGCAGCGCTGCGGCTCTCTTCCAGCCCGTCGGTCACACGGAGTCCCTGCTCGGCTGCGACTACATCGCGTCCCTGAACCCCGGGCCCAAGCGCCTGTGCCTGGTGTGCGGAGACTTCGCGTCCGGCTATCACTACGGCGTCGCGTCGTGTGAGGCGTGCAAGGCTTTCTTCAAAAGAACCATTCAGGGTAACGACCGCAGCCACAAAACATAATTACTATGTTCATAGGACTTTCAATGGAAGTTAGTATGAACTTAAATAAGTAAAAAAAAAAAAAAGTTGATATTTTATGTATTTATTTATTTATTAAGCCCATTATTGCATATGGACTTACTAATGAAAGCTAGAAAGTTATATATCACTAATATATATATATATATATATATATATATATATAAAGCAT